CCTTTCCTTATAGGATAAACGTTAGCTAAGCCACTATATATTCTTGTAATCCTATAGGTTGATTGTAGCTTGATCCACATTGTATCCATGCTGTGATTTTGATGTATGAATTACCTCTGACAAACAATCTCCGTGGCAAACCACTTTGGGACTCCTCCTGTCTCTCAGGAGCTTTCTCTCACTACAGCTTTCCTACTCTTACCCTCTGTGGGCCTTGAAATTCATTCTTCAATGTTTGGGGGACACCAACTTGGCATATCAGCTCTTTAATGGGTTGGGATTGTTTTCCCCTCACAGAATTTATTCCTTAAATGTAATTTTTAAAATAAGAATCCTGATCCCTGTTAAATATAATCTCGAATGGCTGAAATAGTAAAATGTGGTTTTGTTAGCTTTGTTTTCTTTTTTTTTGAAAGGCAGAATCTTGCATAGTATACAGTGAAAGGCGAACTTGAGGAATTTCTAGTTCTGTCAAATGTTTTATATAAAAACCATACAATAAACTGAGTGTGGTGGCACAGGCCTGTAATCCCAGGACTTGGGAGACTGAGGCAGGAGGATCATTGTGAGTTCGAGGCCAGCCTGGGCTACAAAGTGAGCTCAAGGCCAGCCTGAACGGCATAGCAAGACCCCGTTTCAAAAAGGCAAAAACAAAACAAAAAACCATACAATATCATGAAAACTTTTGAAGTTGTTATACTTTGGCCTAACCTTTTTAGAAATTAATTCAATAAACTTATTTTTAATTCTGGAGGCTTATAAATTCTTTTGATTTTTTTTAAGGTCAAATAAAGTCATTGTTATTTTGAATATGATAGGGTGAATAAATTACACATTGCAAGGATAATAAATATGCTGCACATATTTAAACTGCTTTTTTTTGTCTTTGAGATTCTTGGCCTTTTAGATATTGTTCTTGTTTATCAGTAACTAGTAACTTTATTAACCTGCAGTTGAAACTTACTGAAGGTGCTACATTTAAAGCTGTGAAATTTAGAATAGTACCGGGCTTATATCTCGGTGTTTCCACTTACTACTTAGTATTTACTAGTAGATTCTTTAACCTCTCCAAATTGTTCTCAAATATAAACGATAACTAACAAAATCTAGAGTCATGCATGAAGATGAAATGAGATCACATTGCGGAGAGCATTCTGAACACGGAACACATGTTAATTTCAGCCTTCACTGTCCTTGAGGACTCACCTTCTGGTGAGAGGCATTTGTACACATAAATCCTTTGTTCTTGAATTTTCCTAGCACCTTCCTTTTAAAGCAATCCACTACTATGTTTATTAAGCTACATAGCATTTACTCTATCAGAGTCAATAATAACCATTGGGCTCTTTTAACAAAGAACACTAGCCGATAGACTAATTGATGAAAAGGACGTCAGTGCAATTTTCTCTTTTCACTAACAGATAATGGCTAGTGTCTACAGGTAGATTGTATGAACAGAAAATTGCACTTAATTATAATGTTTAGTCTGTAATTTGAAGCAACATGTCAACAGAATGCAGCAAAAGCTTTGAAATAGTTCACAGGTGAAAAACGTTGCACAGGTGGAAAAACGAGGTGAAGCAAGAAACAGGAATGCCACAGTTAATGGTCAAAAGATGGATTTCAACGCTCTTGCATTCTAAATTAGGTTCTCTGCGGAGTGGAGGTACAAATTCAGTGGCGAGAGCATCAGCGTACAGTGTGAAACCATCTTGCTGACAAGGCTCAGAAAGGTTTAAAGCTCCCATGGAAAAGAGGATTTTCTTTTTCCCTTCCCTGCCTCCTGCAATCAATGCTGTTTAACGCACTGCCACCTTTTACAAGGGAAAAAACGCCTGACAGCAGCTCGGCAGCACTTTCGTCATGCGTGCAAATGTGTTTCAAAAACGTTTTCACCCCAAACCCGTAGCACAGCCTAAACGTCGTCAGGCCAAAGAAGGCGCCTCCTTCTGAAAGTCAGCAGCGTCTGCTCTTTGCAAGCCATTTGCTTATCATTTCTTCATAATTTATAATCTACTAATATCCAAAAAGGAGTCGCCACTTTCCAATGTTTTAAAGTTCACAGTGGATCATTTTATCCTTAATTTTACCAGCCCTCTTTGCCCCGCCCGCATCCTTCTCCTCCATCCCACCATCAGCTCGAGACGGCCGCAGGGATCGGCCAATGGACGCCTTCTCCCGCTCTGGCTATCCCGCCTTCCCGTTCCCCTGTGGCCAATAAAGACAGGCAACTGGATACAGCGACCAATAGGAGCTAGGATAGAGGTATCATTGGCTGAGCCACCCCGCGGTGCAGTCTGGGCCTCCGCCTCCGTTGCCTGGGTTACCCATGTCGCCGGGCCCCCGCCTTGTCGTGGGCTGAAACTTGCAGAGTTGGCCGCTTTTGCGCCCGCCCGCGGCTCCCGCCTGAGCCTTACGCCGGGTCCCGGAGGGCAGGCAAGGGGCGGGCTAGGGGTCGCTGGGGTTGGGCGGGGGGCGCGAGAGAGAGCGGGGTGGGTGCGGTGGGCGGGCGGAGTATGAAGGGATTAGGGCTGCCGGGACGTGGGGACGCGGGGACAAAAGTGGGGCCGGGCGAGCCGGGAGGCTCGGGAGGCGGAGGTGGAGCCGCCCTCTGTGGGTGGGAAGTTGTTTGGAGGGAACTGGAACAGAAGGAAGGAAACAGGGCAGGCAGACTTGAAAGGGGCCGAAGTTACTAAAAGCAAACAAACAAAAGCCCAGAGCCCTGGAGAGACTCGGGGTGAGCAAGGGTTGGGAGCTTAGGGTAATTACAGGGTTATTATGATTAGACTGTGACTAGGGCGGAGGGACACTTGTCCAGGTGCTTTGCGTTTTGTTTTTTGATAACACCTTTCAGGGGTAGAATAAAAGGAATAAAAGAAGTTAGCAAGAAATATACTTTTTTTCAAAAAAAAAAAACAGATTTTATTGGTACGTTTTATTGGTACATAATGATCACATACATCACAGAGAATTTGTGCTAGTACGTGATGCAACTAGATTCTTTTTCTTTCTCATTCCTCTCCCCACCTTCAGCCCCTTTCCCGCCCCATTTACAAAAGTTTTGTTTCCATTCTTTTCTTTTCTCATTTTTTTAACTTTGTCCTTCTTTCCTCCCCGCCCCCCGATTGTTCCCCTCCCCATTTGAACTTCTCTTCTATTTCGCAATAGCTAATACACATTTTGGTCCTTATTTACACTTGTGGTTTCTTACGCCAGAGAAACAATGTAGTATCACCCACGTGTGTCCGATTTCTTTCTTTTTTTTTTTCCCGGTACCGGGAACCGAACTCACGTGCCGCTGAGCTAAATCCCCAGCCCTGTGTCCGATTTGTTTCACTGACGAGTATGGTCTCAGGGTGCATCCATCTACCTAGGACTGTCTCAAGTGAAATATGCTTTGTTGACATAAGTAAGCTGGAGCAAGTATGCAGGTACCCATGTTTCGGTTGGGTGAAGCAAGCGAAAGTGTTTAACGGTGAAGCGCACTGGTGCAGTTCTCCCGAATTTAAACTCCATTTGTTCCCTTTATGGCCTTGAACGAAGTATTGACATCAATTAGTAGCAAGTTACTGGTACCATTTTTTTTTTAAACATGGAAATAGTGGATTGGTTGTGCAAATTTTACTGAAATATATCTGTACGTAGATAAATGAAAAATATTGGATGGTTTCATTAAAGTGGATTTGGTTTGTGGGAGCTATTCACTGGGCTGCACTGACTGGCAGTTTTCTTAAACTTTAGCCGTGGGAACCTCCCACTCCATTCAAACTCTGGTGATTTGGTTCCTCTCCCTCGGAAGTACACTTGGATGCGTGCATGTTTATGACCATTAGATAGCTTTGGGATCAGTTATTTAAATGACTTTGGGAGGAGGGGCTACATATCATGTGGAAAAAGGTAAACCCGCAGTGTTAGTCCTCTCTCACTTTGTGATTTGTTCCATGTCGACTGGTATGTTTATCCAAACACACAGTAGCAGGTAATTATTCTGATCCTCTAAGTTGATAGTGTCACTTCAAATATCAAAAGGCAGTTGGTGCCTTTGGAAAAAGAGTTATTTCTGGTCACTGTCGTATCTCTTGTGTTAAGCCAGGAAACTTCTTTAAGACATAGCAGGAGCCCGCACGGGTGCTTCTGTCAGCCAGCTTCTGTGGGAGATCTCCTCTGCCCACTGTGTAACTGTCTCCTCAATTCATTCTTCTGTCTTTTCACTCTGTGTACTTTTTTTTAGCTGAGTTCATCCTCTCCTTGGGCTTCAACCATCTATACTTTGTTAATGCTCTTAATTGTGTGTCACTGTCCAGAAACTCCTGAGTTGGCATCAAACAGGCTAATTTTTGGCATTTCCAGATTTCCCAGAAGCATTCCAAACTCTGTGTCTGAATGGAGCACCTGTCCCTGCCACACCAGCTGTGAGGGTACCATGTTCATCTGGGTTTGCAGGTCCAAAGCTCTGCAGTGCGTTCAGGTTCTTCTCTCTTTCCACACTCTGCATTTAATGTCACCAAGTCCATTTTATTTTATTTGATAAAATATTTCCAGAATCAGTTTTATATTCTGTATCTCTGGTTACACTGCCTCAAACCTCTGTCACAAATCTATCTCTTTTGTCTCCCAGTTCTTGGGTTGGAGATGAATCTTTGGAAATGTCAGTTCTGTTTATTTTAACCTTAAAAAGATGTGTTTCCAGCCAACTTCTTAGTATGCCGTAAAGCTCTTCATGTGGCTGTCTCTCCCACCTGACCCGCCTTCCTTATTACTTCATCACTCTCCCCCAGCAATCGCACTCCTTCTAAGTGAGCACTGTCCAAGGAAGACACACATGTCCTTTCAGCAGCCACAAAAGAAAACACTAATAGGTGAAATTAATTTTAAAAATCCTTTTTGTTTAACCCATATATCCAAAAATATTATTTCAACATATCAATATAGAAAACATTATTAAAGGTATATTGAGTTACATTTTTTGTTCCAAAATGTCAAACCCCACATATGCTTTACAGTTACAGAGTGTGTCAGTTCTGACTGCATTTCAAGTGCTCAGCCACTCGAGTATTGGACAACACACTGGTAAGCTCTTGCGCGGTGTGCAGCTGTGCCATGCCTTTCTTACCCCTTTACATTCGCACATGCTCCTCCTACGGAAGCAAGCACCTCTCTCACCAACTGCATTCTTTTGTTATCCTCATTTACCACCCTCCTCCAAAACATGCACTCCCTCCCCCTAAAATTATATTTGTGCCTGAAATTGTACTTGTGCTTAATAGCTGAAGACTCAGTCTAGGCATTATCCCTCTGGGAAACCTCCCAAACTCCTTCCTGTCCTCTAATCTTAGTTTTGAGTTTGTTTATCCTCCTCTACGTATGTTAGAAGTTAAAAGAAAGAAAATCTTTCCTTTTATTATTAGTGCTTAGGGGCTGGGGATTTAGCTCAGCGGCAAAGCACCTGCCTGGCAAGCGCAAGGTCGTGAGTTCAGTTCCCGGTACCGGAGAAAAACCAAAAACAAAACAAAACAAAATTAGTGCTTGTACTCTGTTTCATTTTTCTTGGCTGAGGGTTTCTTAATAGTAGAGGATCAGTGGTATCTTACTGTTTTTTGTGGTATCTTACTGTTTTTTTCCAGCTCCATCTGTATTTCAGTTCCTGACAGTAGGTGTCCAGAAAATGTCTTAGGAATGAATGAAAGTTCTGTGTCATTTTCATTTGTCTTACTGAACTTTGGGAATATTGTACTGCAGTTGAGATACCTTCACTTGACCTCATGTTTTGAATTGTTTGAAAGAAACTGATTATGCCCTAAATTTTAAGACTAGTAATTAGTGTGATTGAATCAATCATATTTAAACTCACACTTAAAATCCAAACATTGTTTTTAAAATTAAAAAAGTTAACTTTTATTTTTAACAAACATAGTTTGATTAAATATGAGTAGTTGGTATGCAAGTACATTTAATAGGATAAGAAAATTGTTTAGGCCGCACATTGTTGCACATGCCTCTAAGTCTAGTACTTGGGAGGCTGAGGCAGGAGCATCACGGTGAGTTTGAGGCCAGCCTGGGCTACAAAGTGAGTTCAAGACCATCCTGAACTGCGTAGTGAGACCCGTCTCAAAAAGAAAAAAAAAAAAAAAGTTAGAAATATTTAGGGATACATAAGTAGAGGAGTGAGAAAATTTTACTTGGATTGTTCGTTAATCACTTTTCCTTTGTAGAAGAAATAATTGTAGTTTTAATGTAGTAATAGTTTTTACCTTCATTTCATATTTAGATACTTTCCTTTAAGGAAAAGAGGCCATATTTGTATCTTTCTGTTATCTTCATTTGACTTGCTTCTCTACCTGTTGTGTGAACTCCCTGCCAGCAGCACAGGTGGCCAGGCAGCAGTGTTTTATACCAAAAAGCCCTGAGCACAGGACTGTGTAAGGAAGTGGACCATTCTTTGATTGTATAGGGTTTTTTTTTCTTTTGTTAAAACTAAAAGCCTTTTTTAGAGTAATTAACCAGATGATCATTATGAGACAGTGGTCTCTATTGGTTAGGATTTACTTTATAACTCATTTGAAAAAGATTGTAAAGGAAACACTGTAATTATAGTAATCTTTTTTTTTTTTTTTTTTTTTTTTTGCTTACTTTGTTTATGTGTTTTTAAGGAGTTCATTTTGGGTTAAAAATGGTAAGTATTAGATTTGATCATTTTCCGGGAGCTGTACTAGCACTCTTGCCACCTTTCGAAAAAAAAAAGAGTTCCTAGGAGTTAAAATTGGGCAAGATTTAATAATTATTCTTTTTTTTCTTTTTAGCTAATTCTTTGCTTATTATTGAGAGCTAATGAAATACGCACCTCCCCACACACACATCACTAGAGAATACAGACGAACACTTAATAACTACTTTATTCTTGGTCACAATGAATTAAATTAGAGAACCATAGATGGAATGTACATCACTATTCTGTTGTCTAGATAACTTTTTCTTGTAAGAGAAAGAATAATATTAACAGCAATATTCAGTAATATGGGTAGATTATATTATTCAAATATAAATTATAGACATGAATGCAGGTGAAATTTATTTTGTGTGAAGCTCTGTCTCTTAGTTATTTAAAATAAATGCAGAGAATTGACATTATGATGGCATTGGTTCCAAGCAAAACTTTTTGATTTGCTAACTTTTCCCTCTTAGGCATTTTAGAGATTGAAGCAAATCTTACGTTATTGTTTCGAGAGAGGGAAGATTTAACATTCCCTTTAAAACAGAAAGATATGTAAATTGAAACTATTACTGTTTTGTTTTCAAAAGCACTACAGAATAATTATTCATGTCACAAGTAATGAATGAATAGTGCTTTCATTACCTTGATGAACTAGACAGACAAGATTTCTGTTCTCATGGGTCTTACATTTAGTGAAAGGGGTAAGACATAAATGTCAGATCTTTTTCAAGTGGCAACAAGGTCTATGAAACCAGTGAAAGAGACTAAAAGGATAGCGTGCCTTGGCTCACTTTAATAGAATTATAAGGTGAGCCATTCTGAGGAGGTGTGATTTGTGCTGACAAGGACAGGAAGAACAGGTGGAGCCAACTCTGTGAAGAGGGTAGAGGGTGCAGCAGGTAAAAGTCTTGGCACTTTGCAAACACGAAAGAAGACCAGTTAACCGAAAAAAAAACAGATGAAAAGCATGGCATGAGATAGGACTGCAGAAGGAAGCAGAGGCGCTAGATCTGACTTAGGGAATTAGATGGTCTTAGGGGGACTTTGAGGTAAATTAAACAGGAAAGCGGTGCTCTCTGATCTGTTTCAAGTTACCTTTTTGCTACATGAAGAACTGGCAGTGGGAAAGCAGGATACAAGGAGGCTACTGCAGAAGTCCAAGTGAGAACAGCGTGGAGCTCATACAGATCAGATGGTACAGATGGTCAGATCTGGAATGTAGTTTGGAGATTAAACCATCAGGTTTCATAGATGATTTGATGTGGGACGTGAGGGGAGAAGGAACCCAAAATAATTCTAGATTTGTGACATAACTAATTTAGTAGATGAAAGTGCCACTTAAGAAGATCAGACAGGTAGAAAAGAGCAGAGATAGAAAGGAGACAGATGGGCCTGGGATATAGCTCTGGCACAAGCACCTGCCCGGCAAGAGCAAGGTCCTGAGTTTGATTCCTGATACAAAAAAAGAAAAAAGAAAGGCGTCAGATTATGATTTATTGATTATGTTTTGAACAGGTAAACTTGAAATTATTTGTCAAGTGGGAAGGTGATATTTGAGTCAGACTTTGGAGAGAGTGTAAATGAAAGATGGCCAGCATGTGTGCCCTGGATATTCCGACACCCAGACAGCAGAAAGAGGAGGCAGGTTCACTGAAGGACAGAAGAGATAACCAATAGAGAAGAAAGAAAACAGAAAAGCCAACAGCTGTGAACAGTGTGTGAGAAGAGAGAATGCCTTGGGACAAAAGGCCCAGTTGGTTGTGTCACACACTGCTGTGAGATCTGTGGGCACAGGACCGAAAGCTGGCAGTTGGATTTAGGAAGATGAACATCATTGGTGATCTTGCCAAAAGCTGTTTCAGTGGAATGGGTATGAAAACTCAACTAGTTTGAGTTCCAAAGAAAATAGTTGGGGAAAAAGTGGCATTAGCATTCTAGAGTATTGATGACTCTTTGAAACTTTTGCAGTTGTAAAATCAAAGTAGTTGAGTTGTCTCACTGTTGTACAGTGATACATGGAGTCAGACATCAGCTTCGTTGAAGTCTCTGTGGATAGGAACGGTCCTGGGGAGAGGGCTCAGTGGCAGGAGCACAGTCTCTGACATGGAGAGAAAGTAGGAGGAGGAAGACATGTAAAGGGTTAGGGTTCAAAGGAGCAGAACTCCTTCAGTTTTACCAAGGTTGGGAGGACAGAAGGTATGGGATAGATACAGGTGCAAGTGGGTTTCAGAGGTGAATGCAGGTCTTGTCAGATTGTTGTTACCAGCATACTGAAGAGGCCACTGAAGTCAAAGCGGAAGGACAGCTGAAAATTGGAAGGAATGATTGAAAAGCTGTATAATGAAACACCTGTGCCACCTTTCCCACCCAAGCCCATACACAGTCACCAAGAGTGCCCCTGCTGCCTCTCTCTTCCCTTTCTTCCCAGCAAGTATACAGAGGTATTTCTTCTGGAAATAACGAAGACAGTGTAAAGGAAAAGTAGTATTCCATTGTGGACATTTGTATGTAGTGAGAAGCCCACCTCACCTTAGCTTTTAAGTTCTCTACGTAATGACGGATTCATTGTTTAAAATCCTAGAGCAGAATGTGCCATTCAGTGAGCCCTGCAAGCACAGGGCTTCCTTTCTCGTTCTTGTTTGTTTTGTTTTTTGAGACAGGGTCTTGATGTGTATTTTGGGGTAGCCTTAAACTCACTCGTATCCCAGGCTGGCCTCGAACTCATGGCAATCCTTCTGCCTCAGCCTCCTGCGTGCTGGGATTACAGGTGTGTGCCACCATACATGGCCTCCTTTTTCTTCCTTAAGATCAATACTCAACCAAAATTCAAAGAAAAGAAAAATTCAAAGAAAATTAGCATAAATAAAAAGCTAAGATAAACAGAAAAATCTCTCTCAAATATCTCAAATATCTGACACTACATGAAACATAGATAATTCTTGAGTCAGAAGAAACCTTAAACAGAGAATGTGTATTTAATATTTTCAGAGAAGTGAAAATATGTTGTCCCAGTAACGTAAGAACAGAATAATCATTTTAAAAATCAGAAAAGAAAGAGGTTTTGGAAATTTAGATCTTTGCACAACTTTTAAAAATTGTTTAGAGGGTAAATCAAATAAAACTGAAAATAGAACAAAAAGACAGCAAATCTGTTATGTAAGTAGCAGAAGTTTCAAAAAGAAAGAATGGAGGTTAATTTTCAGGCAAGTAATATAAGAAAAATTCTAGTGCTTAAAGGTAGGTTTCCACATTAAAATGAAAAGATATGCTTCCAGGTTAAAATGATTAAAATGATCTATGTTTCATGTGGTGTCAATTTGTTCTGTTTATCATAGGCTTTTTATTTATGTGCTAATTTTCTTTGAAAATAATTTTTGATCGAGTTTTATTTTAAGAAAGAAGCGCCCCAGGGAGTAAACTTAGTGGTACCTGTCCTGAGTCTGGTTTCCAGTACCTGCTCCCTACAAAAAAGCCAAGATAATGAAAAAACCAACACACACACATATATTCATACTATCATGAAATTTCAGTATAAAAAGAAAGTCCTCACAACACCTCAAGAAGAAAAAAGAAAAGCCTGTAAAGGAATGAGAATCAGATGACCATAATTAGAATGAAAATGCTGCAAAAGCAGGGGATTTTTGTGTTCATTACTGTTACATAGTGAGAGCTCAAACAATATTTTTAATAAAAAAAAAAATTGTCTCTCAAGCAACATGGAAGGTTTAAAGGATCATAGGGCTGTATACTCAAAATTCTGAGAGTGAAGGACTTAGGGTAGAACTCAGAACCTTGAAAATAAAAGTTATGTAAATGTAATCCTCTCAAATATCTTGTATTATAGATCTTAGCATACAGTTTTTTCTTTTTCCATTCAGGAAAGTGACTTCTTTCTGACATGTCCAAATTTCATCTTTATTTGTGTATTGTGGAGCCATTGTTATGTGAAAATACAAGTTACTTGACCTTGAACACTACGGTACTGTGACAGTTGGTCTGATAACCAAGTCGGTATTGCGTGATCCATGGGCAAGTAGTGTATGTATACTGTGTGAATGTGCTGGACAAAGGGGAGACACACATCCCCGGGGGGACACGGTGCAGGGGTGTGAGATGTCATCACACTACTCAGAACGATGTGTGATTTAGAACTTCTGAATTGTTTATTTCTGGAATCTTTTATTTAGTATTTTCAGGTCTAGTTGACCATGAGTAACTGATACCATGCAAAAAGCAAAATTCTGGACAAAGGGGAATTACTGTGAGCATAAAGGTCTGTGCCACCAAAATACTTGCCCTGTAGAGTAGGACTTGGTGAATGGCATAGTGGATATTTTTGTTTTGTTTCACTGTAGCTGTATTTGGGAGGAGGTGAGACAGTGCTGTTTTGTGGCCTCTTTCCCTTTACCATCAGTAAGTAGATTGGCATCTCTGATTAGATGCCCGTAGGACATAGGAAGTGACTTCCGTTATGCAGATGTCACAGAAGAAATCTTCCTCTTTACAATGTGATCACCGGTTAACTGTATTATTTGTATTCAAATGGAACGTCTTTGACAGGGAGCATCAGAATTTACTTAGTGTTTCAATTATAACTGTTACTTACACAGTTATCACTTAATTGTGTGATAATTATTGAGTTGTCCCATTTAATCCTCACAATAATTTCCTGAGGTAGTTGATAGTTCCCTAAGGTATCAGTGGTCCTGTTTACAGGTCTTAAAAAGGTGAGATTGAGATTTAGATTTCAGGGTCAGGTCAACTTCAGATTTGCACATTTTGAATGTGTGGTGGAGCTGCATACTTGCTTTTCTCTGTTATCCTTAGCCTTTACATTTTTTTTTTTTCATTTGTAAGTATTTTCTTTTATGGTTGTAGTGGAAGATTCAGGCTGGTTTATATTTACTTTTAAAATAGTACAGTATTTAAAATATTCTTTTGCCATTAGAATTGCTGACTTCAGATAGCGAATTTTAACAGACAGATTGCTAGACATTAATACATGAGAAGTTAAGATCAGAGTTGTAAGTTTGGGCTGGTGTTACAGTTTATAGCTCAGTAGTAGAAGTGTGCAGCGTGTGTGGGTTTTTTGCCATTAACCCTTTTTTTGGAGATCAAACCCAGTGCTTTGTTACATCTCCAGCAAAATGTATGTGTGTGTGTATTTTTATGTAATTTTTTGAGAGTCTCACTAAAACATTAAGTTGCTCAGGAGGTGCTTGAATTTGTGAGATTCCTGCTTCAGCCTCCCAGAGTGTGGGATTGCAGGTGTATGCCATCATGCACAGCTAAAAAAATGTGTTTTACTAAGGAAAATATCAAATCAGTATGAGATATACCAGAATAATGAAGCCTTTAGCATCACCCAGTTTACACAGTTGTCAACTCATGGCCTATCTTCTTCCCTGTCTGTCCGTCCTTCTGCCTGGGTGATCCTGGGTTACTTTGAAAAAAACCTCAGGCATTATTTCATTTTATCTGTATTTGAGTAAATATACCTAACAGATAAATATTCTTAATAGAAAACAAACTACACATCATTGTCTCACCTACAATAATAGTAATTCCTTAATATAAAATATCCAGTTACCGCGTAAGTTTTCTTGATTATCTTATTTCTTTTATGCAGTTTGTTTGAGTCAGAATCGAAATAAGGTCCATAGGCTGCACTTCGTTGTTTGTTAAGGCTTCTTAATATTATAGACACGCTCTTTCTCTTTTGTTCCACTCAGGATTTATTTGTTAAAGCAGTGTTTTTCTTGTAGTGTTTGCCTCAGTCTGCATTTTGCCAATAGCTTCCTTATATTGTATCTCTGTCCTTTATATGTTCTGTAAATTGTCGTTTATGTTTAGAGTGTTGATCAGACTTAGATTTATTTTTTGAGAGGAGGGCATATACTTCAGAGATAGTGTCCCATCAGGAGGCATGGCAGTGCCTCGTTCTTTTTTGTGTTGTTACAGCCATTAGTGATCGTTATGTAACTTCATTATTTCATTAGTGTTTGCAAGCCAGTATTCTAATTGTTCATTTTAATATTTCTTCTTCATTTACTACCTAAAATAATTCTATAAAGAAATACATTCTTTCATCTCAATTTGTGGATAGACCTTGCAGCAGTGTGGTTAAGAACCATACCTGATTTTTTCCCCTTTATATTCAATTTCAAATTAATGAGTTGGTTTCCTAGCATCTACAAAGAGGACTAGTTGTTTTTAACATAACATACACATTTGTAGATTTAAATATGCTTGACACATTTGATCTTCTGCTGATGTAATTCTGTCGATGGGACTGTCGTCTTGGCTAGTGGCAGCGCCTTCACTTGGCCCTTGAGCCCTTTGCTGTCAGTAGTATCTGACAGCTGTCTGGCTGATAACATGACAGTGTTAAAATGCTACCTGAGGTTGAATGTAGGAGTCTGTCATTTATATTGCCTTTTTCAGGTATTTAAATGTTCACTTCCTATTTTTCCTATGGGGTAGTATGAGGTATTTGTTCAGGATGATAATTATTTTTCTGTCATGTTTGCAAATGTCTTTTAACAAATTTTTTTTCTTGAATTTAATTTTTAAATATACTTTAGTTTTACATTTTTGTAGTCAGAGGTATTTTTTCCTTGTTTTTACCAGAAAGTAAAAAAATCATCACCACCACTTCTCCCTTCTCCCACCAAAAAGGAAAAAAAAAAACCTGGCGATTTGATTATTATCATCCTGGTAAAATTTGGCATTCGTGTGTATTATAACTCTTAAGATTCAAGGGAATCAAATTCAGTTAACATTCAGACGCAGTTATATCTCAGGTGCTTTATCCTTTTTAAAGATCATGACAGAAGCCGTCTTTTCTCCTGTATTGAAATAACTTACTGTAAAAATACAGATAAATTATAGCCTCTTCTTAAAAGTTTAAGCTGTGTGTTATTTTGCTTTTAGTATTTTTAATTGCAGTTCATTGTAGAATTTTGTTTCATGATTATATGATGAGTGTCCCCCCCCACTTTCCTTAATTATAGAAAATAAAGTGGATCTTCCAGTGATTGGTATGAATTGTGGACTGCAGATCTTTTGTGGAGAAATAAACTGTGCAGAAATAAATATCGCCAATATATGAAGATTAGGAAAATGCTCTTCGTATTGTCATGAATCTGTGAAATTATGTGAATAGAGACAATTTTTCAAAATAATGGGAGAAAGAGCAAGAAGTGCCGACAGTGACCAAGACAGTGATGCAGGCAGACACCACTCCCGCTACTACTCATCAGACTTGGGGGCAGCACCGCAGTCCTCTGGCCAGTCGTCGCCAGGCAGCCCTTCACCTGAGAATATCAGGGGGAAAAATCCTAAAGTAGAAGTGTCAAACAACCAAGTGCATCACCAGGGTGAGTTTTCTTTTGAAAGAGTCCAGTGGAGCTGATTTACTTCAGTAGGCTGTATTTGTATAAATTTATATAAATATTGTTTATGGGTCTGTATATTTCTTTTCATATTCAGAGTCATACAATCTACAGAAGAGGATAACATAAGGCCGCTCATTTTATCTTCTTCCCTGATACATGTTTGTCTTGGCATCTCTGAGTTACTTACCGTAAAGGTACAACCAAAGCAGAACCTACAAAAAATTCTACTTGTTTTTGAAAAGCCTTAAAAGGCATTGACATAAAGTGGCTAAGGGGATTTTTACAGGTTGAGTAAAATTACTACACAACACAGTGCTTACTGTTAAGTTAAAATTAAATCTAGGAATACAATTTGAGATTTGGGACTACCAGTCTAACTTGTTTTCTGTTAAACTGTGTTACAATGCAGACCTTGTTATTAAAATGGCACTATTCTGGAACATATTTGGCTATATAATGTTCTGTAAATCTCTTGTTCACTTTAATAAATCTCCAGTCCAGAAAATCCTACTGCACTGAGAAGCTATGAAAGCTTTATAAAAACAGCATAGGAAGGGAAACGGAGGCGAATGGATGCTCATGTTCATGTCCACAGACTTGGCTCCGCGGAGAGCAGGCGCTGTGGCTGGTGAGAACGGGCTGCCAGCAGCGAGCCCGGAACTGGGCGGGCAGGAGGCGAGCCTCCTGAGTGCATCTCACTGGAGCCCAGTCGTTTGTCCACTGTCTCTCCGAGGGGCAGCCCTGACAAGATTTAAGCGGCGGTACAGGACAATTAAATTTGTCTTTATAAGCATTTACTTTAAAAAGCAGTATTTGCACATTAAAAACTACAAAGAATATATGTAATATACAAATACTACTTTTTAAAGTAAAAATTTATAAAGGCAAATTTATATATATATATATATGTACATAAATATATGTATATTTTTTCTCTTCTGACAGTGGCCTTTTTGTGGACCACTAATCCAGCTCCTCAGGAATGCCCATATTTCTAACAATTGAGTGCCTTTTTTTTTTTCTTTTTCCAGGCATGACTTTGTTCTTTTTCTCTTTGTTACCCTCCCTCTACTCCCTCCCTCACTTCCTCTCTGTTCTCTCCTGCCCCCTTGCCCTTTCCCTCTCCTCTCCTCTCCTCTGTGGTTCTTGACCGCTTCCTCCAGATCTCTGTCACTGAAGGTTTCTTGCTTCAGTTTTTTAGTTGACAGAATGATTTTAAATTTTCTAATATTGAACCTTAGAACATGTCTGTTGTTCCTAAGAAATAATTTGTCTACCTAGGATATTATTGGCAAGGAGTACTTTCATTTTTTTTCTACCTTCCCCTAAAGTAGTAACAGGACATCTAGGTAAGGAGTCAGAACTATGTAAGCCTTACCTTATTGAGAAAAGGCTGTGAAAAAGTTTCAGCATTGACCAGAAAATTTAAATTATTGTCTTCTGTCTGACTTATACTGTTTTCTGCTGTGCACTGTCTTTTGAAAGAATTAAAATCTATGAAAATTTGTCTGCTTTGACCAGCAATATGATTGAATTGATGTCTTTCTTTGAACACTAATTTCTTTTGGTTAAAAGTCCCATCATCAGTGGAAAAAATAAATGTGAGTAAAGCAGCATTTTAGACACTTGATTTTATGGATTTCCATTTTTAATGGCAGATCTGCTTTCTCTATCCTTATTTTCAGTATATTTTATTTTTTCAAATACAATTGATGCTCTAACAGAATTTCTGTGTATAATAATAAAATATAATGAGGGCTTTGGGTTATACATTTTTGTATATTAAATATTTATCCATTTGTTTTTAAATCAGTAATATGAGCTTATCTTGATTTTTTGTTAGATGCATAGTTTATTTTTAGTACATTAAAAATGAATCATGTCATCTTTTACACCTGAAGTAAGCAAAATCAATGTTCCCACCCATTTTGGGTGGTGACTTAACAAGGGGGAGATGAAGAGTGAGACACACAGCAGTGAACTGTCGTTCTTCTATTAGCACTGCATTTCCTCTTGATAGTTTCAAAAATAAAAATGAAAAGGTAGGTATGAAAACTTTTTGATTTTAGGTTAATGATCAGTTAGTAGTCATACTATAAACATGCTAAGCATAAATGTTCAGATTTTTAGAACGTTAAAAAGTTGGTTGTGGAAACCCTTTGTATCTGACTAAATAGTTGAATAAAGTATCAGTGAAGAACTTTTACCCTGGTTCCTATGAGCTTTAATTAAGCTATAGCTTTTCCAATGAAATAAATTGCTATTTCTATCAAATCTTATTCTCTGAGCAATGTAATTTTATACATAAAAATCAGACCTTGATTAGCATGCATGAGGCCCTGGTTCAATCCCTGGTATAAAAAAATAAAATCAGAGATTTGAAACAATTCCCACTCATCTTCATATATAATCATTTTTATGTGTAAAGTTTCTGTCATTCTAAGAGCTGAATACCTGTTGTATAACCCAAAACTTTGCTAACTCAGTTATTGGGAAGGAAAGAAAATTAAAATATGAGACTTTACCAATTGAAAATTATATTCTAAAGCAGTGTTGTCCAATGGAAATACAATTCCTGTCAAATATAAGTCTACATAATTTTATATTTTCTAATAACTATATTTAACTAAAGAAAAAAGAGGTGAAATTTGTTTTAATTTATTTAGCCTAACCTATCCAAAACATTATCATTTTTGAATTTAGGCAATAAACATTGTGAACTACTTTGCTTTTTTAAAGTCAACTATTCAAAATCTATGTTGTGTTTCACAGTTACAGTGTTATTTCAACTTGGACTACCACATTTCAAGTTTCTCAGCCACATGTGGCTAATGGCTACCATGATGGATAACATATTTCAGTTTCAATTAGGCATTCTCTTGTTCCTTTTTTTACCACTTCCTTTCAAGTATTCAAGCATTTATAGAACTGGAAATCCAAATCAGTGGATGTTCAAAACAGCATCTATAAATTTTTTCATCTTCTTAATGGAACCTTATAATGTTAAATTGTAAAAGTTGTTATTTTCTTACATAGCAAAACAGGTATCCATGGCTATCAAAATAGGGAGGGAAGGTTGGATTTTTATTTTTTTCTTTTTCTCCTCCTGCTCAACTCAGGAATGCATTTCCTCCTTGATAAAATGCAGTGACCTTGGAGAGTAAGTTCATTGCACTTAACTATGACAGACTTTCAAGTGCCTCTTCTAAAGGACTGGTGCTCTACATATTGAGGCTTAACTTTAATGAACTTTTAATAAAACCAAAAGCATTGCAAATTTTTGAGAAGTGTTACGATTTGAATACGTACACTTTAAATAGTTCATATATTTATGTTTTTAGGATGTGATTTTTTTCTTGATTTTAAATGTTGTCAGATGTTGATTTGAGTAGAGCACAAAGGAAGTCCCCTGCAGAAGCATTTAGAAGTGCACACCTGTAGTGCTGTTTCCCATTTTCAGTTAGCTTTCACAAAACCTATTTATGTCTGTGGTGTTTCCTCATTCTGTGAATCAGTTAAATAAAATTGGAAAGGCTTAATTGAGTTGTCAAAGGAGTGGCTGAGTGGTAAATCTAGTCCCAGATCATCTTACTGTACAACATGCTGTCATCCTGTTTCCCCAAGTAAAGAAAAAGCTGAAGTAAAGTTAGAAGAAACATGTATTTTTAGATTTCAAATATTGATCCCAACTATCTAGACACAAAGGACTTGACTACCACAATACTTTTTCCAGTGTTTGTTAGGCACCATGCTGATAATATCCAAGTTTGAATTCTGATTTGGCATCTTATTTATAAAGTTTACAGTGGCTAAAATCTGATAGTGCCATCTTTTAAAGCACCGCAGTGTAGTTTCATGTTAACTACTGGATATCACTTTTGATGGATCATAATATTCTCAACCTTTCTTAGAAGATCCCAAAGCATTCTCAATAGAGATATATTAAAAACTTTAATAAAACTGTATGGTTAATGAAATATTATAAAAACTCTTTTTAAAGAACAAAATTAAACCATGTTATGGACCTACTTTGTGTTTGGATAAACAAAACCACACTTTACAGCCTTAACTTTATCTCACTACTGTTTCTTTTTTAGCCCCTAGGAAACCAAGCCCTAAGGGTGCACCCAACAAAAAGGGAGCCCGAGTGGGATTTCGTTCCCAAAGCCTCAACCGAGAGCCACTTTGGAAAGATCCTGATCTTGTGACAAAACGGATTCTTTCTGCAAGATTGCTAAAAATCAATGCATTACAGAACGAAGTATCTGAACTCCAGGTCAAGTTAGCTGACCTGCTGAAAGAAAATAAGGCTTTGAAGAGGGTTCAGTACAGACAGGAGAAAGTCCTGCATAAGTTTGGAGATGCAGAAAATGAAATCTCACAACTTATAGTTCGTCATAACAATGAGATTACAGCCCTCAAAGAACGCTTAAGGAAATCTCAAGAGAAAGAACGTGCAACTGAGAAAAGGGTGAAAGATACAGAAAGTGAATTATTTAGGACAAAATTTTCCTTACAGAAACTGAAGAAGATCTCTGAAGCTAGACACCTACCTGAAAGAGATGATTTGGCAAAGAAACTAGTCTCAGCAGAGTCGAAGTTAGATGACACTGAAAGAAGAATCAAGGTAAAATTTTGGTGGTTTCTAATTGTGCCGTCTTGGACGGTTTCTCATGGGGCATTACTTATGCTCTTATTAAATAGCTATTGCCATTTGATATTTGCTTAGAAATGAAAAATACTGTTAGTATTATCTTTCTGAATAAAAAATTAGAGAAAATTTAAGATTGTTAATTTAAGAGCAAGATCATATATGAATGAGCCTTCTATTGATAGATGAATACTTAATTCTATGGATCTTAGTTATTTGGGGGAAATGTTCTGTTCGGTTATTTGATTGTTTCTCTAAAATTGAAAATTATACTGTAGTGCCATAGTATATAAAACTGACTTTTTGGGTCCATTGCATGAGAAATCCCATGTGAAGAAACCCCTTTTTTTCATTTGCACACTGTGGCAGGCTAGTTAGAATACATAATATACCCGCTGGGGAAGGGTGTGTCCTTACTTTCCAAAGTAAAAACTGATGAAAAGTGCATGGGAGAATATTGAATAACCAGTCCAATAATGCAGAAGAGCTTTTAAAAATACTTCTTTCTATGGGGAACAGAAGGAAGAGTTCTATTTCATGACTTATACACAAAATGTATTAGATATCATTTGCTGTCTAACAAACAAAAGCCCTGAGTCAGATTCTGTTGCTTAGAATTGACAGGTAGTTTAGAAAGCAAAGGTTGGGGGAAACTGTAGAAATAATGCTTGTTGGGAGACCTCTCTGAACACAAGTTCAAAACCCTAAATAAATTGTGTTTATGCGCTGTAATAACTCGGTGTTTTTAACACATAGCCAGCCATGTTACTTAGTCTTATGCCATGCCCAAGTAGCAGTGCCATGCCCAGGGGCAGTTGCTTATTAAGTGCATTAAGGTGCATTAATGGCCAGGAAAAGTGCCTATTTTATTCTCCAGATTTTGCAGTCATTTTCTTGTATTTCACTTCACAGACAATAATGCTATTATATAGGTTCTACCAGCAGTCACCTCAAAGTAAAAAACATTAAGAAAACTTTTTTTTATAAGGACCACTTACTCATGAAATGAGATGGGAAATGGTGACTGAAAGCAGTTCTCACCATAAACAACAAATAACTGACGTTGTAATTATTTTTATTATTTTGTTTGTTTGTTTTGTTTTTTTCCGGTACCGGGAATTGAACTCACGACCTTGAGCTTGCCAGTCAGGCGCTGTGCTGCTGAGCTAAATCCCCAGCCCCTTTAATTATTTTTAAAAGGAAGTATAAAATGTGCCACATCATGGATTTTAAAATTAGAAAAGAAGAGTTCTGAATACTAATGAACACATCTGGTAAATTACTGAGGGGGCAATATAAAGCTATATGTACGATAGCTCAGCTCACAAGCTTAATCCTTTCCACAGTTCTGGTCACAAACCAAACTGGATAACTGGATCAAATTCAGTGGTTGGGCTGAATGGTGACCTTATAGGGAGATTTGATTTGCTTCTTGTCCAATTCGGTTTGCAACCAGATCATAGAAAGAACAAAGTTCAAGAACGGAGATACGGCTATATAGAGAGAACATGAAATTGCAGAGCTTTCACACATGCACACACTTATCACGTTTAGAACAAGGCCACAATTTGTGTGTCTTGCTGCTACCCAGCTCTTCTTTCAATTTGATTTTCTGATGTTATGTAGCTAACACCAGTGTACAGGTCACCTGTGGGACAGGCGGGCACATACCACCAGTGATTCAGGCTGGCAGGAAATTGTTGCAGCCAGTTATAAATGAGTTGACAGGTTGTTGGGGAGGGGAGAAACACAGAAGAGGAAAAATTAGAGGTCAACCTGTGGATTCAGTTGTAGGTGGATGTACAATACAGGGCTGCCCACTTGGGGGCCTGCAAGTCAGTCATCTATCATGATAAGTGTTTGAACTAGCCATACAGTGTCTTGCTTTTTTTTCCGTATTACATTTTTTAAGGTTTTTGGTTTTGTTATTTTTAACTTTTGAGTTTATTGTAGATAGACACATAGTTGTAAGGAAATCATATAAAGGATCTCATACACCTTTTATTTAGTTTCTCCCAGTGATAACATGTTGTATGACTATAATACAATATTATAATCAAGAAATTGATTTGGGTACATTGATACAATTCGTCATATACTTACTCAGATTGTATTAGGTTTATGTGTTCAGGTTTTTTTCCTGTTCTTTTTAAGACAGGGTCTTATGCTATGTAGCCTAGGCTGGCTTTAAATGTGTGAGCCTTCTGCTTTAGCCTCCTCCTGAGTGCTGGGATTACTGGTGTGAGCCACCATGCCAAGCTAGTTATATGCAGTTTTACCACATATATAGATTCATGTGATACAAAATAGTCTCATCACAAGGGTGCTTTGTGTTATGCTTCTATAGCCACAGCTACCACCCCTTTCTTTAACTTGTGGCATCTACTAAGCTGTTCATTATCGCTATAATTTTGTCATTTTGACAATGTTATAGAAGTGCAGTAGTACAGTATATGTACTTTCGGCGCTGGCCCAGTTCACTTAAACATTCAGCCACGTTGTTGCATATGTCAGCAGTTTCTTTGTCTACTACATAGCAACAAACAAAATAAAGCAAAAAAGCCAAAACCAAAACAAACCAAAAATAACCTAACAACAAAATTTTGGCTACTTTAGGTCCTCTGCCTTTTCATATAAATATTAAAATAATCTTTTCTATGTCTATAAATGCCATTTTGTAATTTGGATAGGGGCTGTATTAAATGTAGATTAATTTATGGAGAATTGACATCTTTTACTATGTTCAAACTTCCAATTCTTAATATGTCTCTTTAATTTATAAATGCTCTCAATTCTTTTTGACTTGGTTTACCTTTAAAGTTTTATTTTTAATTCTCAAAACTTCTGTTGTAAAATTTTTTTTGAAAAGTGTTGTGAATATTTTATGAACACAAAGAAATGACTTGGTTTTAGACGTTTACCCTCAGAGTATTGGGTTTATAAACTCTATACTTTAAAGTTTGATTGATAGAGCCAAACTACTTTCTTCTGTAGTTGAAATTCTATTGGAATCACTGTTTACTGTGCAATTACTAAGACACTTCGATCAGTAATATCACTTCTGCTTTCGCATGCTACCCTTCTCTTAAGAATGGTAGTGGGGTGTGACAGGTACAACCCAACTGAGGATAATTATTCTCTACTCTTAAGCTTTCATACTTTCAAAGCTGTGGCTTTTAGGAAGCCACATTATGTATACTTTTATCTTTCATAATCTCAATAATCAGTTCAGAATTGGAAGTATTTATTGACTTCCATATTCTGCTATGCAGTTTAGCTCTTTTTGTATCTCATTCAGTTTTTTAAATACATCTAAGTAGTCTGGAGTCTGCGTCTACCTCTGACTGATGAAGGGAGAAAGATAAAAGCTCGATTGTGGTGTTCAGTTTAGCAAATGAACTAAAATGAAATGGAGTCCTAGATGGATCTTGAAATTGCTGTTTCATCCCGGCGGTACTCCGTACTGAGCTCTTTTCTGAGAATGGCTGTCTCAGGGAGAAGGCGGCGCGAAGTACCAGCCAGATACTACCCGGAGATTCTCCCGCAGCCGGGACCGCGGCGCGGAGAGGCAATGGGCGACGGGCGATGGGGTGGTGGGGCGACGGGCGATGGGTGACGGGCGACGGGCGACGGGCGATGGGTGACGGGCGACGGGCGAGGGTAGCAGAGGCCCCAGCCGCCAGGCCCAACTGTGCCCAGCCTCTGGAGCTCCTGGCCCTTGGAGCCCCAGGCGCTGGGCCTCGCGGAGCTGGCGGCGGACGGACCGGCTTTCCCACGTGAGAGGCCGAGGCCGCCCAGCTCCGGGCGGGACTGAAGCTCGGTCCTTCGGAGGCCAAGAGGGCGCGGCCCAGGAAGCTGCATGCCCGCGGGCGTCGCCCGGCCGCACCGCCTGGGCGTTGGGATGACTCCTGCAACTCCCCCTGAGGCTCGGGGCCGTTCGCTGGCGCAGACCACCGGCTTCTCGTGCCCCTTGGTGGGCCCCTACGTTATGGGGCGCAGCGCGTGTGCCAGCGTGCTGAGCGACCTCTGCGCCACAGCGTCACCGAGCGTGACAGCATGCTGGTGCTGCTCAGTGTCAGCCAGCACGGGAACGAGGAGGGGCGGGACAAGGTTACGCCGCTCATGATCAAGGCGTCCGCGACGCTGCCGTGGAGGGGCACCGCGGTCACAGGCGGCCAGACCGTGGTGAACCCGCGGGTCGTCATGGGGGGCGTTGCCACCGTGGTGTGTCAGCCCAACGAGTTCATAATGCCCGACAGCGCCGTTGTGGGGGACGTGCTTGTGTTAACCAAACCCTTAGGATCTCAGGATGGGGTCAGCGCCCACCAGTGCTTGGATAATCCCGAGAGATGGAATAAGATGGACATGGTGGTCTCCAGAGAAGAAGTAGAGCTGGCCTAGCAGGAGGCGATGTTCAACATGGCCACCCTGAACAGAACTGCTGCCGGCTTGATGCACACGTTCAGTGCCCATGTGGCTACAGATATCAAGGGCTTAGGCATTTTAGGACAGTCTCAGAACTTGCAAAACAATGGAGAAATGAGGTGCCACTTGACATTTATAATCTGCCAATCATTGCCAAGAGGGCTGCCATCAGCAAGGGCAGTGGACAGTTTGGCCTCCTTCAAGGAACAGGAGCCGGAACCTCTGGCATATTACTGATTTGTCTGCCAAGGAAACAAGCAGCCCGCTTTTGTTCTGAAATCAGATCTGCCACAGTGAGGGAGCGTTGTGGAAAAGAGAAACCAGATGGCCCATCTCATGGACCTCAAGTTACCGAGGTTCTACTTCCTGAGGCCTCTGCTCTTGCTCTGGCTTCTGGTAATTCCAGTGCCTCTTCTGAGCCTGGCTCATGAACTGGACTAGAAGTTGTTAGAAACTTAGTACCTTTGTAGCCAGTCGTGGATAATTCCCAAGAGTTGATTTTAAGAAATTTTCAAAGAAAGCTGCCTGCACAGTAACTAACTATAGCTACC